TGCCCTTTATTCTTTGTTTATTGTAGAATAAATGTATTCTCTCCTACCCAAGGCCCTTGCAGTCTGGAGGTAACCTAGGTACATTCACCTGGGAGGTTTGGTAGAAATCTTTGCAGGAATCTGGAAATCTGGAATGCTAGGAGTCACAATTTAAGCGCACAGAGCAGGCCCCTGTGCTTGGAGAGAGTGCCTCATGCAAACCATGCGGAACAGTGTTTTAGAGAAGCTTTTGTACTTTCTTTTAATGATATCAGACTCGCTCTTCTCAATCCCCACAATAACCTCCACAGATCATGGAGTTTCTGGCTTTCTCATGAATACAGCCATCTCCTCAATATTTAAGGGGCACCTAGGGGGCTCAGTCAGTTGAGTCCAACTCTTGGTCTCAGCTCAGGTAGTGATCTCAAGGCTGTGAGATCAAGCCCCATACTGGCCTCCAGTGCTCAGCAGGGAATTTGCTTGAGATTTTTTTCTCCTCTGCCCCTCCCCCCCTCTTTCTCTCTAAAATAATAAGTCTTTGCAAAATATATTTAAAATCTTTACTTACCAAAATAGCTCCACTTGGATCCTGCAAAGAACAAAACAAAGCAAAGTAAGTACAACTGAGCTTGAGCAAGTTAGAAGAAAACACTACAGATTTTGTTTTGAAATGGGTACAGTTGAAAAGGAGGAGGATGCCCAGACGTAAGATGTTGTCAGAGGCTGTGTCAGGACAACTGCTTCCCAGAGCCACTCTGTTCCAGAGGGAGGCACAAGACAGTGAGTTCTAGCAGGGTCTTGTGCATTAGGGACGGGGCTTTTTTATTAGAAGCCTCCCATATCTTAGGGAAGCCAAATTTATTTTCTGAATACATTAAAAAAAATTCATAAGGCTCAAAACCCAAAAGCCCCCAAAGGGTGCACAGTAAAAGCTCTTCCTTCCACCCAGTCTCCCTGCTTCCATGAGAGAGACAGCCAGTTTTATGAGTTGCCGGGAACATTTTCGTGGTGTGACTACACATACATGTGTAATCACATTCTTTCTCCCCATTTCTGCACACAGATGTCAGCATCCTGGAAACACTGTCATGCATCTTGTTTTTTCCCACTGACCAACACACCCTGGAGAGCAGTTCACATCAGTACTTAAAGAGGAGAAAACTCGTCTCAAAAGGAAAGTCCTTCTTTGAGGAAGCTGCCACCCCTCACCTAAGTTAGAATTCCAGGGGTGGAGAGAATGTGTCAGAGAAGTTTTGCCAGGAATGTCATGAGAGTCACCTACCACCTCCCACTCCACGCCCTTCACACGCAGAAATCCCCCATTCCTACATAAAAAACATATTTTGGGGAAAAAATGTTGCCAAGCTGCACACTTAGTATCTTGCTTGACACCTCTGTTTTCACCTCCAGAAAGACACAGAGAGCCTGAGATTCAGGGTGTCACGGTGACATATCCAATGAGAGGGACTCTTCAAATCCTAAGTGCCTCTCCCAGCTTCCCTTGATGCCATGATCCTGGCCCACAGGATACAGTCAGAAGAGGAAGGCTGTCCTGTCCCCTTCCTCTCCTAGGAACTGATTTGCAGTAAAACTGAACTGACCAGCAATCGGCAGCCTTAACCACAACCAAGCATTTCTTACTCAAGCCAACGGTGATTCTTAAAAGCAAAAAGAAAAGATTTTGCTGCCTTTTAAAAGCTAGTTTCATCTCATATTTTTCTGTTGTTCTGGTTCTTGTCTTTGCCTTGGTGCTTTTCAACTCTTTTTTTAATTTTCAAAGTGAATTGGTAATTGTATCAAATTACACTTACACATGGTTCAAGGTGTCAGACAGTTCTACAAGGTTTTTTATAAAACAGATCATTCCCCTGACACCCCTAACTATTTCCCTGATCCCTAGAGGATTTTTAATCCTTTTTCAATGTGGGTATCTCCACATCTCAATAGAAGCCTGTATTGCTCCTCTAGGATTTGTTTGGGTCGAGGCATTACTGACTCCCTCCCTGGGAGAGAAGCAGTGAGGTCTCTGGCAACCATCTGTAGCCTATCACTTTCTTCTTCTTCTTCTTTTTAAAGATTTTATTTATTTATTTATTTATTTATTTATTTATTTATTTATTCATGAGAGACAAACAGAGAGGCAGAGACATAGGCAGAGGGAGAAGCAGGCTCCCTGGGGGAGCCCGATGCAGGACTCGATCCCAGGACCCCAGGATCATGACCTGAGCCGAAGGCTGACACTCAACCACTGAGCCACCCAGGCGACCCTATCACTTTCTTTTATATGTAAGGAAATAAAAGACCAGTGAGATGAAGTAGAGGATCAGTGCCTGCTAAGAAGTGTCTCTCCACATTTACCAGTACCTCCAATAAACTTTGCTACTTTGAGTCTCCTTCTCAATCTTTAGGGTAATGTGGGGGCTGCTGTTCAGAAACCTCAGAATATCTGATAAGTACTTACGGCCCTCTTCCCTGTAAAAATGCCCATAGCTTGGACACACAAAATTCATGTCTAATTAATTTCAGATGAAGGCCAGGGCCCAGCCTGGTCCATCTTGGGCCCTGAACTGACCCGAGGAAGACTTTCCCAGGGACGTGTGTGCACGTGTGTTTGTTTTTTGTTTTTTGTTTTGTTTTGTTTTGTTTTTTTGGAAGTGGCACCTCCTGATTCCCCACCCAGAGTTTAGGGGCAGGAGTCCTGACCATACTCTGGAGGCAGGCCAGGCCAAGGCCCCTGCGGCTACACCTTGGAGGATTCCTGAGGGAGCAGGCTTCTCCAGAAGAAATTTTTCCCTTCTCAGGAAGGCGATCTCTCCTACGTGAGAGACCTGGGAGGCCCAGTTCGATGCCTGTTGGAACCTGCAGGCCTACTCTGTACTAGGCAAGGAGAATGCCCTGAGCGCTCACTGAGGAGGTGTATTGACAAGGATCCAGGCCAGGGGTTGAGGGCCCTGCTGGCTTCCTGGTTTGGGTGCTAGAACCTTCTCTGAGTAACAGTCACTGGGGCAGCCAGAGACTGCCAGGTCTCCAAACCAGGTTCAGGCCGAACAGGCTCTGCAGAACTCTCTGAAACTTCCCCCGCGGCAACTAAGAATTCCAAGGTTTTCTCCAGAAGACACGTGACCTCACCTTATGATACTCCTTCCCTCCTGACTCCATTTTTTTCAGACATTCACCAGTGCCAAATGCTGGAAGGCTAAATATTCCGGGAGGAGGACAGACCACACTTTGACCTCATTACCTAGCTTAAACCCCCTCCACTCCCAACCTTGGGTTAATACCAACTCTCTACATCTCGGTGACTTTTGCTTTGACCTTGTCCCCTGAGGCAGTTAAACAGCCAAGAAATCCGAATGAGTAATAACAGAATAAAAACTGTGTTCTTAGACTCCAGGGGGAGGCAGGCTGGCTACTCAGTGTCTGGTGAGAGTGGCTTTTTTACTGCAAACTCCCCCACCCCACCTTGCAGAACTGGGAGGGAAGGAAGGCAAAGAAGGGAAAGGGAAAGAGGGGGAGGGGCAGGGGCAAGGAGGAGAGGAAGGTAGAGAGGGAGGGGAGGGCGGGGAGGGCAGGGGAAGAGACAAAAGGGAGGAGGAGCTGCTCCAGAGTGAGGGGAGCAACAGGCTTTCTGGAAAGAGAGCCAATGAATTGCTGTTTCTCTCCTGTCTTGGAGCAGTGTGCAACTACAAGGGAAATTTCTAGCAAAACTTCAGATCCCAGTGCAGCTTTCTTGAAAGGGGAATACAATTGCAGTCAAAGTTTGCAATTGTAAAAATTTCCACTTTTATATGACTCCTTTCTCCCACCAACCTTTTTTTTTTTTTTTAAGTAGGCTCCATGCCCAGCATGGAGCCCAACATGGGGCTTGAACTCACAGCCCTGAGATCAAGACCTGAGCTGAGATCAAGAGTCCTTAATGCTTAATGGACTGAGCCACCCAGGTAACCCCCCCCCAACTTTCTATTTCTTCTGGACAAGATAAGGGAAATAATATCAAGCATACCTTGCCAGCAAATGGATTTGAGTTGAATGAAAAGTAATGCCAAAGCTGTGACAGGCCAGTTCCCCCACCTCCCTCCTGCCCCATGGACCCAGACCTCCAGGAGAAGGAGGATCCACGCTGCTAACAAGGGAGGCTCCATTTCCAGCCATCATTGTCACTGTCAGCCCTCCTATAAATGTTTAAGCCTAAGCTCGGTCCAGCAATGGTAGCACCTACAAATGTCCCTGCAACTTGAGACAAACTCTGTCAAGGGCAGGAGCTACCACCAGGCACCCAAGCAGTTTCCCAAGAGTCGCCACCCCCAGAAAAGTGCTCACCCAGCAGTTGGAGAGGCAGGCAAAAGCTTGGCACCCTCTTGTGCCTAGGATTAACTAACCTTGACCTTGGTTGCTCACCCAAATTCCCCGCCTTGACCTGAGCCGCCAGTTCAGGTCCCCACACTTCCTCCCAACCCCTCCCGCTGGGCACCCTCAGCCTCCAGCCTTTGGGGCTTAAGCGCCCTAATTACACTCCGAGCTGAGGTGTGCACGCTCTTCTGGGTGCACGCACACTTACGTTCAAGATAGTAGAGCCCCTCTGGAGCAAAAACAATGATTAGGAACGGGACGCACCATCCCTCTGACCTGGAGGTAAAACCTAAAGGTGAAGAGCCTCTCCTCCAAAGAAAAGCACCACCCCCCGTGGGGGAAGGTCCTGCGGCTGGGGGTGCTGCACGCCCTTCCTGGTAACCACGCGGCTCGGGTGCCACATTCACTGCTCTAAGCATCTGCACGTGGATCGGGGCGCAGCATTTGCCATCCTGGTTCCCTTCCTCCTCCCCTTCAGCGAGTTCCCCAGCCACCCCTCCAGACCCGGGGGCAGCTCAAAGGGCGCACGAGCAGATTTTAATCCGGAGACAACAGCGCTTCCCCGAACCCGCAACAGGTCGTGCATTTCCAAGGAGAACGAATTTTCCGCAACGCATTTTCCAAATGGTCTAAACACTACGGCATCCGAGGGGACGCTTCCCGCCCCCCACCCCCCGCCCCCCGCAAGGACGCGGCGTTAGCACCGAAGAGCCCCGCAGGCCGTGCCCGGTGCAGGTGGGGCTGCGCGCTCGGGGCTGCGCGGGGAGCCGAGGCGGACTCTTTACCGTGGGGCGGGGCTGGGCGCGCGGGCCGGGGGCGCGAGCACAGCAGCAGGAGCACCGCGGCGGCGGCGTGCAGGCTGCGGGGCATCGCGGGGGCGGCCGGGGCGCGGGGCGCGGGGCGCGGGGCGCGGGCTCCCTCCCTCCGCCTGGGCGCCGGGGACCGCGTGCGCGCAGCCCGGCCGGAGAGCGCGTCCGCCCTTGGCGCGCCCGGCTCCGCGCGGGCCGCTTATATAGGGCCGCTCGGCCCCCAAACACATGATGTCATCGTGCGCAGGGGAGCACGCCCTGCCCGCGGGAGGTCTGGCGCCCCGGCCCGAGGTGAGCCGCAGCCCGGCTCCGGCCGCGCTCCTGGGGCAGCGCTCAGCCGGGAGCCCAGTGTCCTGGGGGGGGGGGGCCAGCAGTGGGAGCCACCGGGAGGGGTGCGTCTGCGCCCTGGCTGCCCCGGGCCCTGCCTCGCTCTGTCGCTGCCCTTTCGGGGAAGCCCCCCAAGTAGACCGCCTTAGGGACGGACGGGTGCCTCCTCCAGCGGGGCGCCCCCTCCCCGCCCCCCCAGCCGGGTGCTTGCAAGATCAGGAGCACTGTTAGCGCCTGGAAAGGAGAGCCCAGAGGCTGCATTCCAGCCCAGAATTTCTGCAGATGGTGCACTACGGCCTGATAAGGTCCTGCTTTTGAATTTGGGCCCGAAGAAATTAATTTAGGTAAATAGCACAGCGGGGTACGCAGCGAACAGCTTTCCGAAGCAGTTAGACTTTCCCCTAGGAAGCCAGGGAGGGGGATCCCTTCTGTGGGTTAGCAGTAGAAGAAACAGACCTCCTTACTGAGTACCTACTGTGTGTCAGGCACCGTCCTGGGCGTTTGCATTGTGGCCTAGATCAGTGCGTGGGTTCGGCTGCCGGTGCATATGATCATTACCTGTTGCTCATTTCTGCCCACTTTTCACTCATCTGTGTACATGCATCTAGTCCTATATGTGTGGCTCTGATCCTCCCTTGTATTTAGTCCATGTTCACTTGTGAAGTCAAAGGTTTTATTATCCTGCTGCTCCAGTACTCGGGAAATCTTCCTCCTCCTGCTACTGCCGCTTGCTGTTCGCTCTGCCCTGGCCATTTGTGTTTCTGGCTTCCCCGGGCCTCTCAATGCCTGCGCAGCTCCCCAGGCTGGGCTTTCCTTTCTGCTCTGTGACCGAGCCTGTTCTCTTGGCTCCTTGCTGCCTATAGACATTGCTCAGACCGCACCGTCTGATGAAGGGGACCCACGCAGCCCTGCTACATGACTTGGCCCATCCTGCCCTATACTCCTGGCCACAGCAGCCTGACCAGCCTCACATCAGGTCTGCGCTGCCTCTCGCCTATGTGGACCTCAGGCCAGCCTCAGCGACCAGTGAAAGCACTGGTCCAAACAGGTTTTGGAAGGCTAGAGCAGCTTCCGTGCTGAGACTCACCAGGAAGGACATGCCACCCACGGTAAAAAGGGTGCTACTGTTCCATCCCTATCAGCTCAGCTATTGTTTGCATTAATAAAGAGCTCTGAAGTCTTTTTAAGGAAGTAGCTACAAAGACATCTTGTTGCCAGCACTTGCCGACCACAGTAGGCTTAAGGATGACCTTTTCTGCCTGCAACTCTTGATAAAGAGACTTGAAAAGTCTCCAGAGCAGTGAGTGAGCAGTTCACTTGTGGTTCTGAAGACATTCCTGTCTCTGATTTGTCATCGAGGGATTTCGAAGATGAAATGTACTTGAAGGACACAGAGATAGGGAAGATGGGCACCCCAAACCAATGCAGATGAAGTTACACATCCCACATCTCCCAGCTACTTAAAGGGAAACTGAGCCACGTATACACAGTGGGTTACTCTCAGTTCAGGTGTTTTCCTGTTACATCTGCCTAAACATGAAGTTCAATTTGTCCTTGCATATGCATCTCTAAGTGTTCTCCAAGGATTCCCAGAGATGGGGAGGTTTTTTTGTTTTTTTTTAAAGGTGGGGGAGCTGGATTTAATAGTACAGTAAGGCAAGACTGTGAGTGGGGTTTGATGGAGAGAAAGGAGAAGATTGAGGGCACCTAGATGGCTCAGTGGTTAAGCGTCTGCCTTTGGCAAAGGTTGTGATCCTGGGGTCCTGGGATCAAGTCTTGCATCAGGCTCCCTGCAGGGAGCCTGCTTCTCCTTCTGCCTCTGTGTGTGTGTGTGTCTCTCATGAATAAATAAACTTTAAGAACCAAAAAAGAAAGAAGAAGAAAAAGAAAGAAAGAAGAAAGAAGAAAGAAAAAGAAAGAAAGAAAGAAAGAAAGAAAGAAAGAAAGAAAGAAAGAAAGAAAAAGAGAAAGGAAGGAAGAAAGGAAGGAAGAAAAAGGAGAGGGCTGGGATGTTTACTGCTTGTCTAATCAGAGATGTGGTTAATTAGTAAAGAATGGATAGCAATTGCAAGAGAATTGAGGATATAAGCTGAGATTCAATTGCCCTAAGTGCTTTGAGTGATTTTTTTTTTTAATTTTAGGGCATCAAAGGAATGGAAAAGCAAACAGGAATGGTTAGAATGACCAGCCGTATGTATAAAGTACTGAAGCCGAATGTCAAGCACCCCCTCGGCCCCCAACAAACAACACACACCTAACCAGCTAGAGTTCCCAGCTCTGGGAACCTTCCTTGCCAGAGGCTCCCTGAGGCCTGTACAGCTGGACTCGTATGGGCTTGCTTTGCCATCATCAGATGGAGCACTAGTCAGCCAATAAGTAAGCCATTACTCAATGGGTTAAGGTGGAAAACGGACCTTCAGTGCTCAAAATGTGGCAACTGGCCGCCAAATGACATGCCCAGACAGAGGGCTCCAGGGACAGAAGCTCCTGTACGGTGTCACCATCGGAATCGACAAGAGGGCGAGGCTGATGAGTCAAAAGGCAGAGGAGTATAGAGGAAAGGAACCTGATATTTGGTGTCAGGAGGTCTGGCCTGAAGCGCCTGCCCCACCACTACTTCCTGAATGGCCGTGACAGTGGTTCAGCCTCTCAAAACTTCGGTTTCCTCCTCTGTAAAGTGCAAGTCGTCATCCCGGCCCCTGGGTCACTAACGGAACCGATATGTGGCTGGAATGAAATAAGGTGAGTGGAAACTTTTCTGTCCATTCATTCACCCTCTGTGTGCCAGGCACTGTGCTTAGGCATAGTCCTTGCTCTTGGGCAGTGTGTAAATGCAAAACAGTCTTATGAAAAACCATATAATTGAGATTGGAATACATGTGATAGAAGGTTGAAGTTTACCCAGAAGGGATCCACTCTGTCCTGGGGCAGTGAGAGAAGACCTAGCCCGTGTAAGAATTAGATTCTGTGACTTCATAAAACCTTTGAGGTGCATAGCTAATACTGGGCTCTTCTCTCTCAAAGCTGGAACCATTTGCCCACAGAAGATAATCATTGGCCTGTCAGGAATAACAGTACCAGTATAGAGATTTTGATTTCTCAGGGTAAGAATCAGCCCTTCAAAGAGTCTCATTCAGGGTGCCTGGGTAGCTCAGTCAGTTAAGCATCTGCCTTCAGTTCAGGTCATGATCTTGGGGTCCTGGTTTTGAGTCCCGCATCAGGCTCTCTGCTGTGTGGGAAGCCTGCTTCTCCCTCTCTCTCTGCTGCTCCCCTTCTGTGTTCTCTCTCTCTCTCTCTCTCTCTTTCTCAAATAAATAAAATCTTAGAAAAAAAGTGTCAGTCAACTGGGAATGCACCTGTTTATGGACTAAAGGAAGGACTGGTAGGAGGAGAACTAACATTTATTGAGTACCTACTGTTTGCCTGACACTTTACAACAATGGCACTTTACAACAATCTATGGGGATGCTGTTAGGTTTGCCATTTTACAGATAAGGAATCTGAGGCTTGGAAAGGTTACATCTTTGCCTTGAGTGAGGCTTTTGAGCAGCAGAGACTGAATCCTCAACCAGATGATTCTCTGTCTCCATGGCCCAGGAAGGCTCTTTTCACAGCTATTCTAGAAAATACCTTAGACGGGGATGTTCTATTTCTGGGTCCTGCTGAGATGAGGATTCTCCAATTTTCTAGATGCTATGATCATTTATTTGTCGATTAGGGGTACAATGTGCCAATTCTGGCAGTTAAATGATGCTCAGCATGGGACATGGCTGTGTCCTTCTCCCCAATCCCCATGGGGTGACTGAGAACCCCTGCACTCTGATCAATGCATAGCACATCTGCCGAAATGCGATACAAGGAACCTGAGACCACCGAGCTTTGATTCGACACAGTTCTCCAGCAAATGAGAATATGAGCCTGACTGCATAGTTACTTGCTGTTATCAGTGAGCTCTGCTTTAACTAAAGAAAGGAGGTCTGGAGGAAAGCAGAGAGCAAGGGAGAGGGAGGAAGGAAGGAAAAAGCCAAGGGATTTCCTTTGACTGGGGCAAATGTCCAGGTCTTTGAAAATAGAGTCACTTTTGCAGCTTTATTCACATCAGTTCCTCACTTGTGAGGCTGTGGCCTGGAGTCATAGCCTCTGTGTGAACCCTAGCTACCCTGCTCACTTTCAGGCAGGATCAGTTGGAGGGCAGAGTGACCCGCAGGCAAGAATGCTGAACTCCTGCTCTGCCAGGAACGAGCTCTGGGCCTATATAGCAAATCTCCTGTCTAGCATGTGCCTCGGCTTTCTGATCTGGAAGCTGGAATAAGAATGTCTGACCCCACACAGGGTTGCGAGTGCAGGATGAGACCATAGATGTGCAAGTACTCTGGAAAGCCAAATAAAAGTACTTGACGTACACAAGATGTTCCTCTGAGAGAGGGCTTGAAACCAAGGCTGTTTTGATCTCAGCCTTGGTTTACCAATCGAAGAGAATGAACACCGGATTCCAGCAAGGGGCTGTAAATTCTCATTCGGCCCCTGCCACCAGTTACCATGGCAACTTGTGACTCTGGTCCAACTACTTGTACACTGACTCCTTTAGCTATTGCTTCTGTCCAGCAGGGAATAATCGCTCATCATCAGGATTTTTGTAAGACCTTCACGATTAATAAAAAATGACAATAATTTATAATTCTACGCACAAGGACTAGGTTAGCATTTTCAGTGAAAATGAACATCGGTGCAATATGTTTCCTCTTTCCAGGTAAACTATTCTGAAAACCATGGTCAGCTGAGAGGAGACTGCTTAAGAGATATAATTAGACTATAATAGCTTAGGTTTTCTCACATCCATCTCCTTTCACCCCTGCTGGTTGGATCCACTCCTCTCTGACCTCAGGAGTTTGGTCCAGATCCTGTTCTGCTTGTTCTCAGCCTGAAGCACTGTCCTCTCTCACCCCTGTCTTTCAAACCCAAGGACAGTCATAGACCACATCCCAGCAAGCTCAGGGTGCCAACCTAAAGCCAGGAGTCTTAATATCAATTCTGACAACTTCCGCCTGGGGTTAGGAAGGTCCAGTGACACAGGGGAAAGAGTTTGGCATCACACGTACCTGGGTTTTGAAAGTCAGCTCGACTGCTCACTACTCTTGGAAAATGGGGCAAATCACTTAACCTCTCTGAGTTTCAGTTTCCAGTTTTCCTTTTTAAAGAGATGAGGACTATAGAGTCAGTATACCCCAAAGAGCAATAGGGAGGAATGATACAATAAGCTAGGCCTATGAAGAGCTTGGCCCAGTGGCATATAATGAGCCCCATATAAAAGGTAGTTCTTGGGGCACCTGGGTGGCTCAGTGGTTGAGCATCTGCCTTTGGCTCAGGTCGTGAGCCTGCTTCTCCCTCTGCCTGTGTCTCTGCCTCTCTCTGTGTGTCTCTCATGGATAAATAAAATCTTCAAAAAAAAAAAAAAAGGTCCCTGCTGTAGGAAGGCCTCAAATGGCTGAAGGGGGACTGTACTACCCATAGTTCCTAGTTTAGGCAACCCCACCAAATTCCCTTGTTTGGGAACCAACACCAACTTTCATGAACCCTAAGAGAAGAATTAATGAAGATTTCCAGTCATCTCTTTTCTCCTAATCCTACACTTTGGCCTCTCAGAGAATGTCACTTTTGTCATAACAAACCAGTCTTCCTACTGAAGCGATAATGCCTTTTAATCAAGTAGATTTAGAATTACTTTATCACAGGAAATGCCCGATCACTAGAATCTTAGAGCTGGGAGGTATTCCTGAGCTCAGAGATACCACCTGCCTTTAGAATAAGCTGGTAATTTCCTCTTGCTTGGATACTCTCATTCTTTACAATTGAAGGAGTCGATAACCTGATCCCTCATTTCCGTTCCTTTCAAAGAAAACTGGCAAGCAACCTCCACCTTCTTTTGGCCCCACTTCCAGGCAGAGAGCTCCAGGAGGCTCAGGAGTGCAGTTAACATTGCTGGTTTCGTGGCATGGACAGGTGAGGGCCAGTGAGCTTCCTCATAGGCCATTGGAGTTGAGTTGCTTCTCTGGCCAGAGGCCGACCCTGGCAAGGATCCAGCTCCATCTCAAGCCCTGAAAAAGGGGTCATATATACCCAGTGGCCAGGAGAACAGATCGGCAACCAAGGCTTCATAGTTCTCTCACCCAGGACAATAGAGCCTGTGGTGAGGAGAGGCTGCATGGTGAGCTCATGGAGATGAGGAAAGAGGTCTTACCTATAGAGCTAACTTCTTTATTCCCGCTCCGTCCCCATCCTTGAAATTAAGAGGTGAGGGGCTGGAGGTTGAATCAGTCACCAATTGCCAATGATATCATCAAGCATGCCCATGTAATGAAGCCTCCATAAAAACCCAAAAGGATGGGTTTTGGAGAGTGTATGAGTTGGTGAGCACATGGAGATGTAGGGACAGTGAGCCCCAGAGAGGCACAGAAGCTCTGCACCCCTTCCCCAGACCTCGCCCTGTGCAACTTCCTGAGTTACACCCTTTTATAATAAACTGGTGAGTTAGAAAAAAAAGAATAAAGGGGTTTGAGGCTCACTTTGCAGTGGAATAAGTTATAACTAGATTCCTTACATCTACATTTCAGTTTTTTAACACTGATAAGCAAAAGTTTTTTTTCCCAAATATTTTATTTATTTATTTGAGAAAGAGAGAGAGCAGGGAAAGGGACAAGCAGACTCCTGCTGAGCACGGAACCCAACTCGGGGCTCTATCCCCTGACCCCCGAGATCATGACCTGAGCTAAAACCAAGTGTTAGACATGGAACTGACTGTGCCACCCAGGCTCCCTTGCAAAAGTTATTTTTGATAGACATATCTCTGTTTTCTCTGCTCAACCGGATGTTGTGGGTGGTAGAGATGATGGCAAGAGACAGAGTCCTGAAAGGATGTTCAGAGAATTAGAAAATTAGAACCCAGAAACTTGGGCTCTGTCTTCAAATTCTGTTTCCCTTGAAGGGGCGCACGAAAGGGAAATAGTTCAGCTACCTCAGTCATTCCATTTTTTTATAACAGGGACTGTACCATTTAATTCCGGTGAGAATTTGTACAGTTCTTTGAGACATTTAAGGAGGACCCCACATGCCATAGTTACAGGGTATATTGATACACCTCTCTCTGAGAGAAAAAAACATGTTAACACAATTCAAAGGAAAAAAATCAGTCCGGAGATTGTGAATAAGAGAAATAGCATCATAATAGGTCTTATAACTAGCTGGCCACAGAGGGAAATGGGGAAGACGGCAGAAAACAGTTATGGAAGAACAGTGCTAACTTGTAGCCATTGTCCAGAGTAAAGGAGAAGCCCAGGGAAGTCACCATTACCTATGGTCTTCCACCTGAGGGATGAGCAACATGGTGATTTTGTGAAGATTCAACAGAGTCTGATGATGGACAAAGCAGGCCCAGCCAAGACTGGAAACAGAACTTGTCAACATTGAACTAGAACAAGAAAACATCTTGGCGAAATGATTTTTATTAAAAAAAATTATTTAGAGGGAATTCATAAAAGGAAAAAACATTGCCCACAAATCCATCCTCGCTGACAGTAATTTCTTGCACGTTCCATTCTTGTTCTTGTCCATGTCAACAAAAAATGTTTATCCAGTTACTATCCATTAAATATACCATATTGTGTATACAACTTTTTTTCTTTTAAGATTTTATTTATTTATTCATGAGAGAGAGAGAGAGAGACAAAGACAGGCAGAGGGAGAAG